GATTGTACCAAAAATCATGAAAATAGTTTTACAATCTAACAGCAATTTCTTCATTCTTGAGAGCATTACATGGCTGGAGTCCGCTCAATCATTTCTTCAGACAGAACATTGTATAAAAGCAGTCACGTTTGGTCCCTAGAGATATCATTTCGGAGGCAACATTAAAAGGGGTGTTCGTGGGTCGCCCTGGTACCTTCAAGTTCTTTACACGCAAGCCACTAAATTACTACTGGTTGGCATGCCACAAGCGTTTACCGCTGGTGGCCCGCTGTCATGTTCGTCTCGGCAATGTTACCATTGGCGGGCCGCTAGAGGCCCACTGATCGCCCGCCGAGGACCGCTGACGTTGCCATCGGCGTCCCGCCAGCGGACCACTAGCGGCTTGAGTTACAGGGAGGTCGATGAATACTGGGCAATTTTCCCTCTTTCTGGGCGTACGCGTGTGGGACCTTGTTTTCGGACAGGACAGTGCAAACATGGCAGGTACTTGCGAATTCGTCTACCAGGCAGTACTTTTCAGTTGCTCTATCTGGTAAGGTTATTAGATACACCCTGAGGTCTGCGGAAAGAGCCGTCGTACCTGAGTTATTTCCACAATTTTGTGGATATCTTTTTACTTACCTAAGTGCCTGCAATTACGTAACTGTAGACACAAAAGGGTAAGTTATTTAGCCATTATATTGATATATCATAATTTATATGTCAATATGGTGTTATATAAACTATAAAGCCGCCATTTTTCAGTTTGACTATCCGGTGTGAGTTTGCGCGTTATTGAAGCGGAAATTGCGATCGGAATGCTGAATTCAAATTTTAGCTGAGGTTGTTGCGATCACTTTCACACAAATACCAACGGGAAAGATATAAACTCATTTATTCTCCCATTCAGCTATCGGTTAAATAACATAGCAGACTGAGCTCTCTAGCCTTGGTTGGCAATACAAGTATATCTCTGAATTTAAACTCGGCTGGTCGTGGAGCTAGCAATTTCGACAACATAAATTGCCTGCTTGCTACGGAAAACACTGCCGCAACAGTAGCGTAGTGAAGCTGTGGCGCTATATTTCACATTGTGTGGGGAGCCGTCATCTTTAACAAGTGTAGTCGAATGAAAAAAAAAACAACTTAGGATGAATCAGGCCGAATGCTTTGTACCTGCAAATCCGTCCCCCAGAAAAAAAAATACTAAATTGCACTCAAGAGAATTGAGCTTTATTTTCTGTTACTATAAATTATGTCAATCTGTTTTACTAACCATAGTGAATCGTCAGGGTACTATGATGGGTTGTGGCAAATGATGGTTACTTGATGGCAATTATCTTCACTGCATCGTCGATCGAAACTCAATCTACCACCCTTCACAATGAATGGATGCCCCTGTTACGTGCCTTGAGAGACTGTTGGGCCTTAAACTCACCTCCAGACCTTGTGGAACTCCTACATACAATCCATCGCCAAAGATGCAGAAAAAAATGGTTGGTTCTCCGTACCTCTCTTGTAAGTACCTAACTCCTGATGCTATCCTCTACCATTACAAGAACCACGTCTTGGCTAAAAGGGAGTACTGTTGTAATATTTAAGCGGGAGTTGTTCAGTTCCCACTTTCCAGACTCGATAGAGTTCAAAAGTGACTACGGGTCCTTGTAGGTGACAAATTATTTACCTCCCGCCAAACTCTCTTTCACAGGTGGGATGTGGCAAGATACTCTCTGCTCTATCGCTATTTCCATGGAAAGTATTCGGACGAACTACATTCCTTAGTTCCACCAGTTCTAACCTTTACGGCTAGGACTCACCATGCTACTCACATTGTAGCAAACCACCCTCATTCCCTGCGTATTCCATAGGTAAGAAATAAGTTCCACAGCTCAATGGAACACACTCCCAAAAGGATGTTATCCCGATCTCTACAATCTTAACCTGTTCAAGTCTAGAGCCAACCGTTACCTTCCCTTCTTATACGTATAAACTAACAATTAACGTAACCTTCTATCTCGAGTGGCTCCCAGGCCTTTATACAGGGTGAACCGCGATGTAAAAAAAAATTAACATACAACAGGTTGAAGTGTGAAACATTTTAACAATAGCTGTAAGTCAATTACGTGTTTCTTAAATTATTTACCCGAGGACTAATATTCTCATTCGAATTCTTAACATGTTTCGGCAGCTTCCGGAAACCCTTCAGCATTTTTGAGGTGTTTGCCGATCAGGGACAATAGCCAAATGCATTAAAATATTGTCTTGTGAATTTGGTGGAATAGTAATTGAGAGCTCAAGCTCTGGGCCGGGTTGTTCAGGTTTAAAATTAGTGGAAGAAGCAATACTAGGTATTACTAAAAAGAACGAAACGAGTTATACATAGATATGAACGTCCGAACAAGAACTAAACCCGTAGAATAAATAAAGGGTTTAGATGGAAATTCCCTAAAAGTTACCCCGATCAACACACATTTGAAGAAGACCAGAGAACACAAGCTGTAATAATAACAACAAAGATGAGGACATTAGTACAAATTTTCATCTTCAATATACCGTAAACGATCGTGGCTTTGCACAATTTTCTCTCCTTTGTAGTAATTGACAATGTGTTTTTCTTTATACCACCCATCGGACTCCACGTTCTACCATTTATTCATCCTTCGGATAAGTGGCCTGTTGGTTACCTTTGGCCTTCGTAGGCACGGTAGAGTTATGGATAGTGGCTTGGATTGAGAAATCGGAGAGCCGAGCTCAAATATCAGTCAGGTTCATTACATTCACACGCCTTGGGAAAGGTATGAATACATCTATTTTCCTCTATGATGATAAATTGCAGGACAGTGGGGGGGGGGTCCTATAGGGTGGCAACCGTAATAGGAGAAGGAAAACTCTGAATTCAAAACCAAGCTGGAGATAGTTGAGCACCGTCATGATACCTTGCCCAGGAAGCACTACTGCAAGATATGTGGTGAAACATCTTGCCCAGGAAACACCATAGCTGCAATACATGTGGCGCTATTGTGAATGTCAATTTTTTTCAAGCATTCCTTTCTCGTCTGAGAAATTTCAACTGATTCTTTCTGATACCAAGTTCTTTTGTTTACATTTTCTTTAAAACGTCTTCGTTGCTTAACATGCTCAGCTCAAGATATTCTCAGCATCCTTCTGCAGAACCACGTTTCTGTTGCCTTAAGTCTTCTCTTTATCTCTGAGGTAATTGCCCGGCATTCACTGCTATATGAGGATTGATATTACGTAATAGTTCAGCACACTTTTCTTTTTATGTGAGGAAAATATCCTGTTTCTTAATACTTTGCTTAGATTTTGGGAGGCATCTTCTCCTATTCTTTGTTAAAATACTTCTCAAGTATTTTAAACTTCTGTACTGTTTGATTTTAATATCTCCAGTTAGTAGGTCACTTGTTGGGCTGCTTCTCTTATATATATATATATATATATATATATATATATATATATATATATATATATATATATATATATATGTATATATAAAGGATCTAAATACTGTTCCGTCATTTTATTTTTAGCCAGTTTACCCTGGAGATCCATTTAGGTGGAACCGAAGTAGGTTTGCCTGGCTCCTTAGGATGTAACCTAGTATATATATATATATATATATATATATATATATATATATATATATATATATTGTTCCTTTCCTTAGGATTTACTCTAGTTTATCGCTCTACTTACCGTATTGAGCACTCTACGTTTTAGTCTTTCAACTCATTTGGTTTTTTTTCTTTGGACTAAAAAATTAAAGCACTTAGCGTCCTGTTCTGATGTTTTTAGTTCTTTCTTTTTTTATTTCTAATTTTTTCTTCGGTTACCGATTTGCCCTGACATATCTGGAAGTTGAACTATCCGAGATTTTCCAAACGAGTACTACTATTAATATAAATATATATATATATATATATGAATGTGTTGAAACTTGACTAATGCATGGAATAATAATACAACACAAAATGTACTTAGAACAAAATGTATTGAAACAAGAAAGTGTACACAATATTTACATATAGTCTTTTGTATATTCTTGGGAAGACCGTTCCTGGAGAATGGGTTGACTTAGTCGCAGTCGGGCAGAGTCTCTGGTTGAATCTCTTGATTCCCTCCCCGTCTTCCCGGTACCAACCATATTTATATGGTCGGTACTCCACTATGCAAATTAGGTGGATCCTACCACAACAGAATGCATATATATATATATTGTGTTTTCTTACAATTGATAGTTCTTTCTTCTCGTTTGTCTAGGAACTCCATTAGTTTTCCTTCTGCGTCTGACATCAAACGGTGTCATCTGCGTATTTTATGTTGGTAGAGACGCCTGCTCCCTTAAGATGGACTCGCCGTATAAGTTGAATAAATCTGGCGAAAAGACTCATCCTTGTCTTACGCCACTTACTGTTTTTGTGTAATTTAAATAATAACTCCTCATTGAAGAAATTCAAGATTTGATCTAAAGCAAAGATAGATTCTTGCCTTCTTAATAGCATATGTAAATACAAGCTTACCTTAACCCGGACATGAACTCAAGCTGTCGATTCCATTTTCCGTCGACGTACCATCCACACTAAATATAAGCCATCATTCACAAAGTTTTCTTTCGTCGGGAAGCAAATAAATATAGGTGTATAGGAATTTATAAATGTGTGTGTAGCGTAGTGGTTACCGGTAGGCGAGTTCAAATTCTGACAGTGGCTTCTGCATTCACTGTTGCAAAAATACCTTTGGAAAGGTATGACTGCGTCTCTGGGCAGACTGGGCTATCTAGCTTTGGTTGGTGCTTGTCTACGTGATGGAGAACTCTGAATTCGGAACCGGATAGATGTAGGCTGCGTTCTTATACACGATTTACATATATACAAGGAAATATTTCTATATCACGGCCGTATCACGTTGAAACACCGGCTCTCGCTCGATCACTGAAGTTAACTCTCAACGAGCCTGACCAGTCCCTTGATGGGTGACCGCTTGGGAATACCCGGTGGTGTAAGCTTCGATGTGTTGGTGGTGTAATGGATAACAGCTCGGAATGGAAAGTCGGAGAGCCGAGTTCTAATTCCCGTCGGATTCCTTATATTCATTTACGCAGAAATAACATTAGGAAAAGTATGAATCCACCTCTTATCCCTTCATTTATGGGTTAAATAGTAAGACTTATATCAGTAAAATCATTACTATCTCAAAAAACTGTTAAAAGCTAAAAATATTTTCTGGCTTTAAATAACCTTCAAAAAATTAATAAGCCGTAAGAAACAAGGCAATCAATCAATGAACCACATTTATACACCTAAATCAATATATTCTTTAACACTAGCTACAACTATCGTCTCGCAAAAAGATTGACTATAGGCGTGAGTTAATAAAGTATTGCTGTCGTCTTGAGGTTGTGAGTTCAATCCCTAGATAGGGTAGTGGAATAAATACGCTCTCGTTTAGCCGGAGCAAACAATAAACGGCATCATAAAAAAAAATAATTGACGCATAAAAGATATCAGCGAAAATATTGGCAACATAAATATGGCCGCAGAGTACTTAACAGAAAGGCTGTACCCATAATAAACATGTATATAAATCTGTAAGAAGATAAAATAAGATGCTGAATTGATTCCAATATATTAGCTTATAATACTCCATGTGCACTCGATTATCCGAAATTGCGCATGCGCGTTTCCTGCACGAGGGGAAATCAAATCCAAGAAAGTCATTCATAAATTGAGACCGACGACAATATAAACATGATGGCAAATGTTTCTCTGTGAATTCATTCACGCAGCAATTTGCATGTATATTTGTCTCTTCCGACGGTTGGATAGACAAGATATGAATGAAATTTAATAGTATTAGACGATGTTTGAAGTACTGGGAGGAAACAAAAGTGAACATAGAAGTCAACACTTAGAGGCGACAGTCAGGCCAATTACATTTACGCACGATCTATCGCTGATATTGAGCACTTTATCCCATAAATATAGCACATCTTAAGACTATATTTCTTCATATATATATATATATATATATATATATATATATATATATATATATATAAATCAAGAAGAAAACATTAAGATCCATTTCGGTTATAATTTATTTCATAAATATTTCTATATATTCAGCTCTTCAGACCGAAATTTCTTATTATATATATATATATATATATATATATATATATATATATATATATATATATACTCAAATGGCTAAATATAAATAAATTAACGTTTCAGTGTTCAAATACATACATACATACACACACACACACACACACACACATATATATATATATATATATATATATATATATATATATATATATATAATCGCCCTTGTTTCAAGCTCTCTGATGATTGCATAGGGCTTGGAATTCCGAGTCGTGTTGTCGGCGTGGGTTAAGATATATATATATATATATATATATATATATATATATATATATATATATATATATATATATATATATATATATATATATATATATATATATATATATATATATATATATATATATATATATATGTGTGTGTGTGTGTGTGTGTGTGTGTGTGTGTATTGTTTTTTCCACTTCTTCTAGTTCTTCAATTGATGACTTTAAGAGTTTGCATGCATAGGTTGTATTTTGTGTCTGCATCTTTGGATGACATTTTCTTCAATGTATTACAGCAAGAAATGTTTTTCGGTTTCTGGATGAATTGATTTAACATCGAGAATTTTTTTGATATTCTTTAAGAGTTTGGTATTTTTTCATACAATCAATATCATCCCTCAACCGATGGACCTAAATTTGCCTGTCCGAAAACAAAAAAAGTATACCGGGGTATGCACCACTCACACACGTGCATGCCCTAAAATAATGTTTATAATAATATGACTTACGGCCACATCACGTTGAAACACCGGTTCTCGTCCGATCTCCAGTTAAGCAACGTTGAGCCTGGTCAGACCTAAATGCGCGGCAGCTTGGGAATACCAGATTCGCGTAAGCTTTGATGTGCAGGTTGAATGATGGAGATCACGGCTCAGAATGAGAAAAATCGAATAGCCGAGTTATATTCACTTTCACTTGGGAAAGGTATAAATCCTTCTCTTCTACCCCTCTCGGCTATGGGTTAAATAGCAGAGCAGACTGGGATCAATAGACTTGGTTGGCAACCAGTCTATCGCAGAAAGTACCGGTACCCTGCTGTTGGAATTCTTCTGCTAAGTCAATTATGACTCGAAAAGAAATATAATCATCTTAGCTTTCATCAAGAATTGCACCTAAAGAAGGAAGGTTTGATTGGTTGATTTTGTTTAGTGGCATATCAACCTCTATGGGTGATTAAATGCTGAAATCTAAATATTTGAAACACGATTTTATGGCTTTAACTAAATATAGATTGAACGCAATTGTGTGCCTTCAACTACACACAAAATATGTTACAGGTTATTCTACTATAGAATTTTTTTTGCTGGTTATCTATATATTGTCAGTGTGTCACACTTCATATCATTTTGGAATCAGGCCGACTCCGTGAGCAAATTAAAAACATTCGGGACTGGATCCGGACCCACAATCCTGAAAATTTCAATTCCCAAGTTTTTATTACTGCGATTGTTGTCGGCGACATTTTTACGTGATTTTTTGCGACTAATTTTTTTTTGTTAAGATAACAATTTTTATAACTTGGATATTAATTTGGGAATAATCGTAATTAATTGCGAAATCCAGCGAAAGTCACCATTGAAATAACAATAATTGTCTGTACGGAAAGTAAAGACCTACGTACATCAAACTGTCTTTAAATTAAGTCGTGGCAGAAGAATTATCGTTGAACTTTTTAAAATCAGCGTTTTGAGTTCTTCTGTAGTTTATTGTTACCTATCGCATCTACTCCTCCTTACCTATTGCGATGAAGTGACCTCTAGAGCTAGCTTTAATGCCACCTAATAGGGCAGCTTTTAAGCTTGCTTTGGTATAATTATATATTGTTGATTATTTTACTATAAACATGTATTTTTATACTTTCATAATGTTTTGTTTTAATGAATCATTATTTGCCTATATCACTGACCGTAATAAGTGCTACTTTATATATATATATATATATATATATATATATATATATATATATATATATATATATAAATATAAAACGAAACTCAATATTTAATGACACTATCCTGTCGTGACTAAAAGTTTTATATTATGAGCGATCATCAGAGGCTTCAGAGAATCGTCTGAACATGGCTCCTTGCGTAGTGTCATAGACTTGGATATTCCCGGGTCATATTTCTGCTCTAAACTAGGAGGGTTTTTTTTTTTTTGTTATCGGATTTACTTTTCTGGGTGACGAAGCTCTTTCTGTACTTTCACCTTCCGCTACATTTCTTCCATCTTTTATTTTTTATTTTTTTAAATCTTTTAATTGTTTGCCAATTCGGGTATAAAGGTGACACAAGTTTCGATCCCTGCCGAAAAGGACGATTTCTACATTGACTTATTTTGTTTACGTTTCGAATACGAAAATAAGTTATGAGATATGGACTTCGAAAAGTCCCAACGAGTGACAAGCATGTCTTTAAAAGATAATCGAGAGTTGTTTTGTCGTGAAAAGCCGTCAATTGCACAGCCAGTTGAATAAGTCTATTGCACAGCCGGCTTAAAGATTGTTTTCCTACTACGTTTGACTGATTCAACTCCCGTGTATGGACGGTGTTCAGTATCGGAATTAGAGATTTAAAATATAACTTTAAAACTGAACACAATTCATACACCGGAGTTGAATAAGTCAAACATACTTCATTTGGTTGAAATAGATCTATACTCATGTGAAGTAATTTTGGATTTTGTTATGTAATATATATATATATTTATTAAAGACATTTTTTATGTTTAACGTTGTCATTTCATAGATACAAGTATTTAAGCAAATGCTCTGTTTATGATAAACAGTATTAAATAACATTTACCGGCCTGAATGTCCGAGAAATTTTCATAGAAAATATTCGTTCATTGACAGGATTCGAACCTGCATCCTATACTGTTTAATACTGTTTATCATAAACAGAGCATTTGCTTAAATACTTGTATCTATGAAATAACAACGTTAAAACATAAAAATGTCTTTAATAAATAAATTGTCGGACCTTGTCCATTTCTTAACATATATATATATATATATATATATATATATATATATATATATATATATATATATATATATATATATATATATATATATATATATATATATATATATATATATATATATATATATATCAACGATTATGTAATATATATCTACGATTATGTAATATATATATATACACAGGACGAAACGGCCTCCTGTGCTTTCTGCATTCTGTTAAGGTTTCTTCTAGACTCGATGAATTACTTAATTATATATATATATATATATATATATATATATATATATATATATATAAATATATATGTTAGTTCTAAGGTGTGCTATATTTATGGGATAAAGTTTTCAATATCAGAGAGAGAGCGTATGTAAATATAAATTGCGTCTAGCATGAAGCACCCTGTCGCCTCTTAGTGTGGACTTCGATGTTCATTTATATATATATATATATATATATATATATATATATATATATATATATATATATATATGACGATTTCTAGATGTCTTTCAGATTTTGAGACAAGCTATTCCTATTATTATTTATTTGATTTGTTTTCTTCAACTTTATGATAACAAAAGCAACAACAAAAACATGAAGAAAATAAAGAAACTTTTTCCACAATAAGAAAAATCTTTCATCTCCGACTCAAAACAACTTATACTGCCACAATTTCTGCAAATAAATTATAAAATCACAATACATTATAAAACTGATTTTATCATGTAACATAAATAAATCATTTTTTACATTCTATTGAATTGGACGAAATAAAAGTTATTGTAAATTTCAAGCATGTAGCGCACTGTTCATAAAGTAAAAAAAAAACTACTTTCAGTAATTTGAACGCAGAGTCAACAATTTG